GAAGGCCAAACAAAGTAGTTTCGCTTTCACAACGAAACACAGCGTCACACGCAGCGTCCTTGAGTGAGCGGAGGCCTGCGGGCTAGAGTGAATGGCGGCCGGCGGATTCGGCGATGGAGCGTCCGGGGGGCTTGCGGCAACCACATGTGACGACCCCAGGCTGGACTCCACTTAGTCCACAGTGAAAGCCGATCCGGCGATCGACAGCGCGAAGTTGATGTTCCTCAGCGACCAGCACGGATCAGCTCCAGGCATGACGAAGCGGATATCGTCCTCTTTTGGAAGGCCAAACAAAGTAGTTTCGCTTTCACAGTGAAACACACAGCGTCTTCACGACATGGCAGCAGCAACAATACTACAGCTAGAATAAAAGTTACGCCTTCTTTCTTTACGTGAACATTTGGGCGGTGTTATGCAAATCTTCCCACATCATGACGTAGACATGTGGGGGCGTGTTAGAACGAGCCATTTTAGGTAGGCGTGGTTGACTCTTAACTTTTATAAGGAATATCTCTTTGGATTCGAGACTTTAGTCTTTGCAACTTTACAGACCTTCTTTATGCACCAAGAGCTTGTAACACTTCAAAGAGAAAGGAAAAATTGAAATCGCATCATATGACTCCTTTAACTAAATATTAACTACGACTTTTGCCTCAATAAACTACTAATTACTGTTTATTAATAGTTATTAAATAAGTTGTTGAATTTAGGTATAGGTTAGGATAAAGGATGTATAATATGGTCATGTGGAATATGTGCTTTATAAGTACTAATAAACAGCAAATATGCTAGTAATATGCATGCTAATAAGCAACTAGTTAATAGTGAGAACTGGTCCCTATACTAAAGTGTTACCAAAAATTGTAAATTGTAATAATATTTTACAATATTACAGTTTTTTTTCTGTTTTTTTACAGATAAATGCAGCCTTGGTGAGCATAAGAGACTTAAAACATAAAAAATCTTACTGATCCCAGACTTTTGATATACATATATAGTTTTTATTAAATGTCTTTTTTATATATAAATATTGAATATATCAGAGCAACTAGTTAATAGTGAGAACTGGTCCCTATACTAAAGTGTTACCAAAAATTTAATTAAGCTAATTGCTGTTAATGGCCACGTAGTGTCATATTACTTTTCTAAACTTCAACTTTTCAAATTCAAAGGACTTGAGGATTCTCACCTACTGTAATAATAAAACAGGCATAGATTCACAGAGAAAAGCCAGTGCAAATACTGATGGACACCTAGCGCAACATGCTAAAAACACCCAGAACAGCTTTGGCGCTGCATAGCGACCATCTGCAACAACCTAGCACTGTTGCTCTGAGTTTTGCACACACTGCTTAGAAAGTCTGTAGATTTTTGGATTTTTTTTCAATAAATGTGAATTTTGAGTTGTTTAACACATCTCCTGTGTTTCTAAATTACAGTGCATGATCCAAATGGAGCACCCTCAATAATGGCAATAAAATATGAAGTTTGCACTTGCTTCATAAAACCTGTAAGTAAAGTCACTGGGTTCAGATTCACGAGTATGCATTCTTGCACTAGGCAGGCTGGTGTTTTAGGGCCAGCACAATGAGTCTGTGCTGCAGTGTGCTCACAGCACTTCCCAGTGTTGTGCTGGGCGATCCCCTCACCGATAAACAGTGCCCTCTCCACCCTTACACGTCTCTATCAAGATCTGGAACCGCTGCCACTTTAGTACCGTTCCCACATTGGCCCGATGCGTACGCATTCAACACACTCACACACTCCTCTTCCACGTCCTCGGGTTCAACAAGCCCTTGGGAAAACCAGGGGAAGTTAAAGTGACAGGCGTGTCTGGTTAAAGCAATGTGCCAATATAAAAGTACCACTTTGTGTAACATCTTTTGGGTTTGTGTGCTTGGTTAAGATTGATGGCTTGGACTGCGATTTTAAATTGTTTTTATGTTTGCTCATAATGCCCTCCACTAATTAACATTTGATTAACAGTAACTCACAGCAGGTCGTTAAAGTGGAAAATTAAGCCCCTCGGGATGCACTGTGGACGGATGGCATAGTTTAAGTCCAGAAAAACAGGGTACGTGGTTAGAGAAATGAACAACAGACTATTTCATGAGCTATATGTCTTTTTAGGTGTTTTTTAAATTTATTTTTATCTGCTGTCGGATTGAACATCAGTCTAATTAAAGGGATAGTTCCCCCAAAAATGAAAGTTCTGTCATTGTTCAATCACCCTTATTTTTTTCAAAACTGTATGACTTTCTTTGTTCGTTGGAACACAACAGAATATATATCTTTTTTTTTTTTAGTTTATATAATGAAAGTCAATGGGGTTGTTTTGGACCCCATTGACTTTTATTGTATGGGCAACAAAAGTTAAAGCATTCCTCAGAATACCTTGTGTGTGTGTGTGTGTGTGTGTGTGTATTACATTGAAAAAAGAAAGTGATGGTGGTCTATATAAATTTATATAAACTACCATTCAAAATGTTTGTGTATGTTTTTTACTCTCTTACCAAGGCTGCATTTATTTGATCAAAACTATTTATATTAACTATTTCTAAAACTATCACTATTATTGAAATATTATTACAATTTTAAATAGCCATTTTCTATTTGAATATATTTTAAAATGTAGTTTATTCCTGTGATGGCAAAGATGAGTTTTTAGCAGCCATTACTCCAGTCTTCAGTGTTAAATGATCCTTCAGAAATTCTTCTAATATTCTGACTTGGTGCACAAGAAACATTTATTTTTATTATCAATGTTAAAAGCAGTTGTGCTGCATGTTTGTGGAAACAATAAGATTTTTTTCAAACCACATTTAAAAAATATATATTATTTTATGAATAGGAAACTCAAAAGAACATTAGTAACATTAGTTACTGTCACTTTTGTTCAGATAATAAACCTTGCTAAATAAAACTACTAATTACTTTGAAAATTACTGACCTTAAACTTTTGAACGGTAGTCTAAATTTAAAATATTCCCTAGCTAAGACAGCTAAATACATTTTGTATTCATAAAAGGTTTGAAGTTTGAGAGACTAGACAGAACTTCATGTCAAACAAATGAACTGCAATCAAATCTACAAACATTACAACATGGAAAAAAGCTTTCAAGAAAACCAAAAAAGCTTTAAGCTAACATAATAAATGAAGGCCTATACAATAAGGGAGAGCGGCCAAAGTCAGAGAAACATCCTTATTAAACATCCTACTGAAAAATGCAAATCTCATTACTTAAACCAGTGATTTAGTGCTGTCATATCAGGGTGGTGGAGTCTGGCTGGGGGAAAAAAAGCGTCACCCTTTCATGAAAAATGGAGAGCTGTCGGAAACGGTGAGGGCGAGCAAGCAGTGCCGCGGGGTTGCCGGTGTGCAGCGCAGGGAGGAAGCGGCGCTCAGAGCCGCAGGGGAAAGGCTGCATCTGGTCGCTAATGAGCCGCTCACAGACAGCGACGTTCTCATCAGCTCTGTTTGTTTTCACAGGCCTCTCCGTGTCCACTCCACAATTGTTTTGCTTGGTAGGCCCTACCGTCGTTCTCAGGCTCTCGGCCCTTATTTATCAAGTGACTGCCCTGTTTTTTTTCTTTGCCTCGAGTTCATGGGGCTAAATATAATCTGTCTTTCCTTCTCGCTCAGTTGCTTGCATCGTGGCAGACAGAGGTTCTCAGCTACATCGGTAAGGAGAGATAGATTGGGGGTGTTTCCCATTGCTTTAACCTTCTCTGGCGGTTGTCCAATGAATGCAATACTACAGGATGTAGTACAAACATTCTCTAAAATGCATGTGTGTGGAAAAGACGCAGTGTTTTTTAGAATAGGTCTGTGGTTACAAAATTAACTTCCTGTACTCTGCAACTCTGGAAGTTATGTAAA